CCCTCATGATAGGATCCCTTATGTCCCTTGTGAGCAGATTTATGCTCATAGAATTTTCCGCTTCCTCCATATCCTGGCTTGTGTCCTTCACCACCCTGCAAAGAAAGATTTTTCATATATATTGCAAATTATCGCATTCAAATTATCATATGCACATTGTACTCTTTGCTTGTGATCACTGAAATGTAATACTCAAATGAGAAATGTAGAGGTGGAATAAAATAATCTTTTACGTAATAAACAAGGATGGAGGAAAATGTTAGGAAATTATCTGAACATACTCTAATCGGAGGGAAGCACCAATCTGTAAAAGAGGAATTAATAGACAGAAAAATGATACTCGGAAGGTTAACCTGCATGACAAAACTTAAAATGTTCCAATTTCAGGAGTTCTAAGATGTCAAACACGTCAACTAATTTGTGTTCTTCTGATAGTGAAAGAAACGCTTAATGGCTTGAAGGCTTTAATGTTTTGTCTTAAAATGCAAGTAATTTACATGTCCATCTCATATGAAATCAAACCTGTGGTAGAGAAGTAGAATTTAATTAGTTGTGAGATAACTGTGGGAAGAACTTGTCTAATAACTGTTTAGGCAGATCGCTTCTTACTGAAAGGGGTTGCAAGGAAGAGTGGGACAAAATACTTGAGTTTAGTGACAGTGTTAGTTTCGCAGACTTTACTGTACAAGAGCAATTGGAACTGTGGAACAAGCGCCCTTCTCGTCCCCGCCCGCCCTCCCGTTTTTGTCCTTCCCAGGAAAAGAAAAATGCAGCAGATGAGTCTTCCAGGAGTCTTTAAGGGAAGAGAGCTTTGCCATGCAGTGGGTTTTGCCCCCTTCGTGCTAAAGCAAAAGAAATTATCGCGGCAAGGCTGTCAAGTTGCTGGATAAGAGCAAGCAACAAAATTACCATCTTAAAGTGCTGTGGGAGGGGGGAGGAAAGTGGAACAGGAAAAGCAAAATTGAGACAAAACAAAATTATCACGTTGCTGCAGCAGCTTGAGGCAATGGAGCAAGATATGCTTTGGCCTGGTAAATAAAATGGCTGTTACCGAAAGCACATTCATCACCTACCCAGCTAAATCTGGTGAGGGATAATCCTCTTCCCTGTACATGCAAGAAATAGAAACAATGACATGATGATCACTATGGAAGGTAGCATCTGGGTGTACCATACACAGAAGAAGATGAAAATGCAGTAAAAGTAATGAAATAGTGGCCAGATAACAAGGCAGGAGTTGAAAACAACGATCTGTACAGTCGTTCCATGAAACAAAAGGCAAAATTCTTTATTGTAATTACAAGAACTGACTTCACTAGCCGTGGTTTGTCAGTATTGTGTACTTTAGAAGCCAGCTGAGCTTAGTAAATGTAAGGACAGTTCCTGGTGGGTGAGGCTTGTTTGAAAGCGTTACCTATTATTAGTTTACTACATACAGCAATTGCAGCATAAATGGAACATAAAAATCCCTGCGAGTGGCTCTAATTTGTCATGCAGCAAGTCGGGAAGTGCATGGGAAAGAGAACCATGGCTTCTCTGTCCTAGTCCCTTGCTTTAAATATTCCCAGTGATAACTGCAGATTTTTACTTAGTGCCATTAAAGAAAATGAATCCGGCTAGCAGCTGAATTGGTATAAATTAGCCCACAAAAGATCTTGGACGTTGCTTGAGCCCCTGAAAACGCTTACCTTTGCTTGCATTGGGGGAGGTGTACGGGGCGAGACCTAAAAACCAACACAAAAAGTTGTAAAACCAAGGCAAAAATAAATGTAGGGAATCATCAAGCCTTTTGCATATTATCTATGAGTCAGTAGGATTAAGTGCTATCTAAGTAATCGCACTGAGATTACTTAGATTTGCCCCCTTCGTGCAGGGTGCCTTAGGCCTTCGTGCCCCCTTCTAGGCTGCCTTAGGCTTTGCCTAGAACACGCTGGATTTTTGTCTATTTTTAAACAGAAAACATGCCTTAATACAGCCAATGCTGAAGGCGCAAGCACAAAACCTGCAAATGGTGAAGCTGTATAATTGTAATGGTGGTGGTTGAAATTTGACTATGCTAATGGGGCGTTCACCCACTTTCCTTGTAGCATTTCAGTATTGTTTTTGTTTCCAGGTAAAAATTCTTTTTGTACTTGAATGGCATGATGAACTCAAAGGCACAGTACAATTCACGAGCCTCAAAATAATGGCTAACGACTGGGGAGTACTTGGTTACTGATGGATCCGAAAGAAATACTTCATTTTAGTGCATAACAAGAAAAGAGGAGACTTACAATGTTCTTGAAGAAGTGGACTACGGGGTTGTCGTCACCAGGCCGGCCATGCTGAGATCTCTGGGGGATGGACCCTACGTGGTGGCTAGCCCTGGCTGCGTGTATATCCTGAAAAGCAGAACAGGCATATCGCCGGGTCAGCTAGGAAGGAACGATAATCGGCGACCGTATGAAGAGTCGAGTCATTTTCACCAGGAATGAAAAGAAGAGAAAAACGCCTTGGAAATCTGCAGAGATGGCAACCTGAAGTTGCCAGTGCTGTGAAGGAACAATATTTTTAATACAGTGGCAAATACAGAGTATGTATACGGACATATGTTGTGCATACATATATAGGTGTACATGTTTTTAACATTACAGCCCAGCGTGGAATTAAACCTGTTACTGGAAAGTTCTGCTAACAGAAACCTTGTCATTTTCCTTCTTTTATAAGTAGGATCGGAGAATGTCGTTATAGAAATGAAACCTGAAATGGAGAAAAACTTAAAATGATGTTGGGTCATTCTCCATGCGAGAGGAGGAATGGATCGTGTATCATTTCTCAGTTCCCAAAGACTGTATAACACTGATGAACTGCAAGAGCAAAGGGTTTGGGTGTTTTGTTTTGGGGTTTTTTTTTTTTTAGAATGAGGGAATCAAATGAGACTGATGATACTATTTCCAGTAGGGCTTCCCGAGCAATACAGAAAGAAGTCCAGTAAGTGAAGGTAAAATAAATAACAAAAATAACACGTAGTGAAGAGTGAATACCTTGACTGGTACTTAGAGCGTGATGCATCTGTTGCAGTGAAAATAGTGCCAAAAATTCGGTGTCGTTACTGCTAGAATGAGGGAATCAAATGAGACTGATGATACTATTTCCAGTAGGGCTTCCCGAGCAATACAGAAAGAAGTCCAGTAAGTGAAGGTAAAATAAATAACAAAAATAACACGTAGTGAAGAGTGAATACCTTGACTGGTACTTAGAGCGTGATGCATCTGTTGCAGTGAAAATAGTGCCAAAAATTCGGTGTCGTTACTGCTGTCTGGAGGCAGTATGACGAAGTTTAAAAAAGAACTGTTGGGTGTGACTGACCCACTTACAGACATCTGCCCATCCTTGCACATGTAGAGGCACAAGGCTTCACGTTCAATGCAGCAGATCTGAAGTATGTTCAATGGGGACCGGGGAAGGTAGGAGAGAATGAAACCAACAACGGTGCCGCAGTGGTTCTCTTAGTGTCATGAATTCCCTGAAAACACAATGATGTTATAAGCATCGTGTGGATACTAAAAATTTTCATTGGCTTCTAAAGATGAAATAGAAATCCATAGTGAGACAGTAGCTCACGTAAAAGCTTCCCTAGTGGCACAAACTGAATGAACGTTTGACTGTAGAACAGTACGGATAGTTATTGAAAAATATACTTTGCTTTCATCACATATGAAAAACCATCGATCAACTTGCCAGGGAAAAAGCTTAGTCTGATCGTTGGAGCAGGACTCCTGACTCATGAGCGGTTTGGTGATTTTTTGACAAAGAAGTTAGTATCTATAGCACAGACTTTCAAAGGTTTGAAGAGTCTTTTTGTACTTCGAGTGAAATCTCGTGACATCAGTAGCTTTCAGAATGACCCCGACTGCCTCAAGCTATTCCTACTGAAAATGGCTGCGCAGAGATTTACATCTTCTAAGATTCTTGAATAAAAGGTCCCATGAAACCGTCTGGTGTTACTGCTCAAAGCTGCTACACGGAAGTTTTATTTTTAAGTGAATGGCGTCAGATCTTGTGATCTTATGTGAATGAAATGGATTTATATTACCTTGGATCAAGCAGAATGAGATGAAATATCCATCTTCACGAGTGGCCTTTTAAGTTACGTGATTCTGAGGAGAAATGAAATTCGGATATATTGTTTAGAAGATGAATTTCCTTAGGATAAAAAAAGAGCCAATGCAGAGAAGTTCAGCTGGTATTTATCAGCATCATTTTTTGCATGCCGATGATACGGAGAGATTTACTGTTTAAAAAACAGGAATTTCTGAATTGTATTGGGTTGATGAGATTTCTGTAGGGTCAGGCAGTCGGTCCTGCTTCTACTTCTGCAGCAGCTTCTGCTTGGTCACTAGTTTCAGCGTTGCCAAAATATCCTCTGCTGTCGTGATTGGGAAGAGGGAGCCGGTAAGGCGCCAACGCGCTTAGGACAAGTGCTTCAGCCATGTGTTTGTCTTCTTAATCTATGTTCAAATGAAGCATTGCTTTGCCTCTGCAACCGGCGGACTGCCTTGCCTTTGGGACGAATAGCGTGATAAATACCGTGGTGTTGCAGATCTGAACGTCCATCTTTAGCAGCAGGAACTGGTTGCTATCTAACTGCAAAACTATTGCAGTACGTGAAGCAGAAAACTTCAAGATCGGATTTGATTGCATGTAGCCTGCAGCTCCGCAGTGGGCTACGGCTTGCCACCGGGTAATTATCCCAGAAAAGGTGGGATAATAGGTTTTTACAGTTTAGATGAGGTTGAGTTTCCTGAATTTAGCGTTCTGATCAGTTATTAGGTGCTAATAGTTTGGCTCATTGAAAAGGTTATCGTGTAGTACATACAAACTTTCTTCTGTCTGCGGTGCCGAACGTCAGCATAGTCTTTGACTGGGTCCCCTTTTAGAGCTTATCGGGGAGTAGCAAGTCTGAAGCCATTTTTAGTGATGGTTCTGTATGAGATTAATACCACGGTTTTCCCAGTGTTACAAATAAAGCACTTTCCTTTCATATTATCATCAGCAAGCTTCATCTGCGGTCAGAGTCTTCCATATTATTCTCAATTTATGGCAGTTAATTACATGCGTCCCTTTGATTTATTGTTGGAATTGTTCTTCCACCTGTAGTTTGTTCTTTCAATTATTTCTGGACTCCTAGGGGCGGGGAGCGAAATCCAGTGGGGTTTTTTTCAGAGATTGCTCACATTCATGATTTGTGAAAATCATTTCCCTCAGAAGAGTCGTAACTGGCATCTGTAGGTGTTAAAAGTTAAATTTGAATGGATTCAGGCAATGCTTTGCTGAATGAAAAACAAATCTGGTTTACCCTGCTAGGATGGGCTACTGAGGTGGCGTTTTATAATTGGACTTTTTTGAATGAGCTCATCTAGTCACTGCACGTTTCGCTGATACATTCAGAAGACCGCCATTTATCTTTAAATACGCTTTAAGCGCTTGGGGAAGAAAAAGCATTAACCTTAAAACCTAATAGGAATACAGCAGAGCACCCATGTTCTAGGAATGGGTGACATTTACTTGTTTCTTTGCGTAACGGGTCTCTCGCGCGTGGCAGCGGCAGCGAGCTCTCCTCACGCCTCCTGCAGCCTTGTCATGAATTTCAGTCCTGGGAGCATTGCCAATAAAAATCAAGCTTGGCTTCCACGTCTGCATGTTATGAAATGTACTTGCAAAGCATAATCTTGAACTCGGAGCCCTTGGGTACTGTCTGTGAATTTGAAAACGAACAGAGGTGCCCCAGTTTGTGCCCTTAAAAAAAAAAATTAAAAAAATTACAACTTGTAGGGTAACTGAATAGTTTGTAGTCACGAGCAGTCTTTCTTTCAAGAAAATAGGAGGGAGGAGAACACTCAGGTTTTCACTGTTCCCAGTTAACTTTTGGGTTGACCTTAATAAAGGATCCCTACTAAGGCAACTGCGCTGTACATTCAAAAAAGCCAAAAAGGAAAGATCCCTTAATCTGAATAATCATCTTAATTATTAGAAAATGTTTGCCAGTGCTGGAAGTTTAAGCAGTCTCTGGGAGATCTGATGACACAGATGTGGTTTGCAGCTTCACCGTGAAATGAATAGCTTTCAGGATTAATAATGTAAATAGGAACACTGTAAAATGTATGTAAAATACCCACAGTTACTCTGTAACGGGGCGGGATTCAATATTGGAATCCTTTGCAGCTCTTTCTGGTCATGCACAGGAAAGTTGCGTTATTTCACTGTGCCACCTACCTTACGTATTTTGGCCACTAAGACAAAAGAAGGAAAGAGAGTAAGTAAGTAAGTTTCAAGGTAGTGCAAAGAAAGCATACCGGTATTTTAACAGTAGCTACACATTGGCGTTGCATTCCCTGTGTTAGCCAGGTACTTTCACATCAAACTAATTAAATTTACTGGCACAACCTGTATTAATATTTTGAAAGAGCTGTCGGGGAAAAAAAATTGCTGTTTCTCTAACACAGAAACAAGAATCCATGCGTAATTCGGTTCGTGCTCCATTTGGGGTTTTGTGCAAGACTGTTGCGTTTCCCCTTGAGGTGAAGATCCCCGAGAATGTGCTCTTCGGTGTTCTGAGAGAGCAGGCCTAACCGAGGCTCGTGGTGGTTTCTGTGGCACTTACTTACTTAATAACGGTGTGAGGGGTGTTACCGTCTGCACTGTAACGCTACAGGAGACTACAGAAGAGAGGTCTTGTGGTTTTGATAAATGGAGCGGGCCCTTCTAGTTTGCACATTTGGACACCGTGTCCGATAATCCCGGTTTGTGATCGTACATGCACCTGACTTGAAACATGGCAGGATTGGGGGGATTAGCTCCATTTTCATATAAATGCAATTGCAGTTACGTATTCCACGTGTGCCACTTGATTTTGTTTTCAGATTTGATGCAGAAGTGTAAAAAATGTGGTTAAGCAGTAGCGGACATGTTTTAGTGATACCATAGGATCGCATGGTGACTGCGGTCTGACTTTGCTTGGTCTAAACATGATCTGTTAGATCATGCGACCCCTAACAAGTAAGGGGGATTTTAAAACGCATATTGTAAGCAAGCTCTCATCCTCCACAAGTCGATCACTTGTGACAACTAAGGGTCGCATACACACATTAATATAAACCTAAAGCTCTAATTCCCAATCGGAGATGATCTGCGTTAGTGAAAATAATAGCATTAAGATATTTTTGGCTTGGAGTAGTGAATTTATATTTTTTCCAATTCCTTTCAGTATCATTATTGTGTAGTTTTGTTACCTACTTTAGGATATGAAATGAAAAGCTAAAGAACATCACATGTTGTTTCTGTCATGGCAAAATCCAAGTACATATGAAATCTGGGAATAATAGCAGATTTAAGATGTAAT